AAGCGCGGTGGCTTCTTCGTCATGAAAGCTCCCACAGCTTCGACCAGATCCGAAGCTTGAAGCTGACTCATGTTCCAAGTTGCAGTGTAGGCCAGACCATCCTGAACTGAATGATCCCGAGAGTAATCGAGTAGATGCTTGCCGCCTTGCACTGCAATCGGCGATTTGCCTGCATTCGTTTTAGCAGGGCGTAGCGCATAGTGATTGCGCTTACTGGAGATATCCTTCGCTCATTCGATAGCGGCTGCCAGAACTTCGCTGCGGCCTCCTTGCACGACGTTGCTGACAAAGCCATGCTGATGTGCCCCGCGGCGTCAAAGTTCCGGCCAGTATAGACAAGCTCGCGTAGAAGAGTCATTCGCGACTTTCAGCGGAAACCGTTGCAGAGAGCCAATATCAGCAGCTAGACCGATTTTCACTTCCTGTAGCATAAAGTCAGCTCTCGTGTCCTAGCTCGCCATGGAGAAGCCTCACTTTGATGCACCTCGAATACTTGCACCGATCGACTGGCTCGGCTAGCACGTCAGATGAGGTGCTAGCGAGCGTCTCAGATACATGCCCAAAATGAGGCGCCGAAGAGTCGAGAAAGTCGAGCGGCAAATGAATCTAAGTGGTTGAGTATCTTGGTCTCCTCGTTGCAAGCTTTCTCAAGATACCTGCAAGCACACGGGGCTCAAGTTAGAGCAGCTACAATGACGGCGAGAGGCCCACGTCTTCGACGCTGATTCGCCGATGGAGTGTGATGTTGCCGGTGATCACAGCGTGAGGGCACTGTAGCCCAATGCGTCGCCGTTGTGTCTTCGGCTATGCATGCTCTCCACTGCTCACTCGCTTCCTCTGAGCACTACGAGGTGAAGTCGAATCTGGTTGTTGGGCGAGCGGCCCGCATCATCTGCCTCTCTACGTTTGGAGTGCGTCCCTTCGAAGTTCCTGATAACGACGACTCTGACGGCATGCATGTGACGCCCGGCTGTGATGTGTGCCGGGACTATCACACCATTCCTGGCTTTCGAAACACATTCGCCAACAACAATCGCAACGAAAACTAGTGCGAAGGAATGGAATAGAGGGCGTCAAAGCCGACAAGATCGAGCACGTCAAAGACCGCGCTTTCGGCAGATTGCTTTCGCTGCACGAAGGAGACAAAGTCGCGTTCAGTGTTGCAGTCGCTGCGCCCAAAGACCTGCACAACCCGTACGGCACGGACGAGCTTGTCAAGCTTTTCTTCGCCTACATATATGACGACGACTTCAGAGCTTCACATATATGACGACGACTTCAAAGCTTNNNGCCATCACATATATGACGACGACTTCAAAGCTTCAAGCCAAGCTTTGAAGTCGTCGTCATATATGTGAAGCTCTGAAGTCGTCGTCATATATGTAGGCGAAGAAAAGCTTGACAAGCTCGTCCGTGCCGTACGG